GGCCGCCCATGGCGAGGCCGCCCATGCCGCCGCGGCCCGGCCTGCCCCCAACGCGCCGCTTTTCCCCTCGCTTTGGGGCCGCTTTAAGACCCTCTCCCACAGGAACATATATGTGTGTGTATATGTATATATATGTTTCATACATTATATATATGTATTTATGTATATATACACATATCTTTTCTGTTATTAGGGGAAATCATTCATCTTCCTGGCATCACAACGCCTCTCATCTCATTAGAGCTTCTCAGGGGGCTTTTGCTTTTAACCATGTTTTAATTCCAGCTGGGAAGTGCTCATTCCGCATGTGGGGCACAGTGGGGAAGCACCACCAGACCCTGAGCCCACGTCCGTCCCGTTGGGAAAAGCAGCTTCCGTGGGGCCCCGTGCGGGCCCTGTCCCCGTGGCATGGCCCCAAGCGGCATTAACCGTGGCACTGCCCAGCGCCATCGCTCCTGCTCACAAACCTCTGGTCACCCCATCTCCTTGCTCTCAGCTTCTCCTACGCGGTTGTCACACTGTTCCCAAGCAGTGGCTTGGCCGAGAAATATGTATTTAGTCATTTTAATCTTTCCCCATAAATCAGCCTCTCGCTTGTCCTCACACACAATCTGCCCTGCCACCGAAATCCCGATTGCTCGGGAAGATTTAGTGCGTTTGCTGCCGGGCTAACGACGCAGCATGTCTCAAAGGGCAGCAGGGAGCGTAAGCATTTAATGCTTTGAAGCTCTTGCCCTCTCCTAAGCCTGCCCCATGGTTTTGCTTTAGAGCATTTTGGTTGGGAGATGAGGAAAGCAGTGGCAGCCTCATCAGGGAAGCAGGAAGAGGCTGGTAATCTTGGATGGAACAGGGCAGGAATACGTGGAGTTTTAAGCAATTCCCAGGACAGGAGAGAAAGATCGGTGCTGTACATGTGCAGAGCCGAGGGCAGAGGCAGGAGGCTCCTCATGCCACTCTAGAGGAAAGGGTCTGTGAGACTCTCCCCATGCTCATTTGTCCCTAGCTCCTCATCAGCACAAGAAGCAGAACTGGTGCTTGGACCTGTGGGGAGGAGATGGGAGGAACGGAATTAACAGAGCACTGAAAAACGTCAGGGAGCAGAGACAGTGCGAATGAGCTGGCCTCTTTAAGCACATATGCTTTACAACTTACTGGATTCATTAGGTTGGGCAGCGAGGTGTGGAGAGCTTTCACTTGCCTTAAATAACCTAGCAAGTACCTTCAGAGCACAAAATGTAATGGGATGAGATAGCTTTGAACCAGGATAAATGTACTCGGCTGTCTGGGAAACAAGCAGGAGCAAAAGGTGATAAGAAATGACAAAGCCCGCAGACTCCGGCACGAGGAAGGAGACGTGCCAGGCTGGCCGTCACAGCCAAAATACCCAACAGTTTACAAGAAGCCGAGCGACTTACTTTACATCTGAACCACTGCCAGTGTCAGCAGCTACCATATAATGATGACAGATTAAAGACTGAAAGACAAAAGGTGAAATAACTCAGGGCATCTGCTGGGAACTGATCCTTCTCAAAGGACAATACCAGCAATTCCTAGCTCCACACTGCTAGTTTTGGAGATTACAGATTACAGCACTCAGGAGGAATTTTAAATATCCGTGGCCCACATTTATACCAAAGGAAATTCCTGTGATAGAGGATTAATCAAAATTTACCAATCAGTCAATTTAATCAGAAGCATTTACAATGCAGGGGTGTTTTGCACTGCTAGTTACAGCACAGTTCCTGCTCTATGAGGAATGAAGCCACAGACCCAACTGTGACCTGAAGCAACTGCTGAAACTCTGGGGCTGCTGGTGCTGGGAGCCAGCACTTGATGCATCACAGCTGAAACGATCACATAAATAGATCACATCAAAACAGATGTGGAAAAATACTAAGACTGCCAGGCTTCTCAATTCAATACCCAATTGTGCTGAAAGCTTTCCAGGGGAATTTAATAATGCTGTAAAAATGAACTGTAGGTTACAAAAAGATGCATTTGTTTTCTGGGTAGCTTTGTCTTATCTCCTTGAATGGTCAGGCAACAAGAGCCAGCCAGAGACACAACCTAAGCTGGTCACATTTCCTGGAAAAGTGAGTCAAAAGTGGAAAAACCACCATAAATCAACACTGGATTCCCCCCTCACATACGAAGGAAGTACACAGGGCAGGAGTAAGACCCGGGACATGAGATCTCAGCACTTGCCCTAAGGGCTACGTTCCCATCACCTGCATGTCTGTACGGCAGGAATCCCAGGTAGGGGCCAGCACCAGGCCCTGGATCAGAGCTGCTCCTCGGAGCAAACCTTTCTTCCTGCTAAACGTGCATGTGCTTTACACCTGCAGTTAATCTCTGTCCTCAGGAATATACCTCTGTAGATACCTGTGAGCACAGGCAGAAGTATTTGCAGAATTCTGGTCTGGAAGACAGGAGATTTTATGGTCATTTCCAGCAAGCACTTTTCTTTGTGAGTGGTGCTGAGCTCCACTTAAAGTGTCTTGGTAGGCAAAAATAAGCTTTACCTTGTCAGGCATTTGGGCAGCTAAAGAAACTTCCTATTTTTTGATGCCACTGAACTGCAGAAAAGCAGCAGCTTTCTTCCAGAAGCATATTTTACTAATATCATACTTGCTTACTGCCGTATCTGAACACTTGTGTGGAGGAGAAAGTGAGCAGAGTTTTAATGCAATACCAAGGATCTATTTCTAAGGGGAGCTAGAGCAATGCTGCTTATTTTAGGCAGCGGGGAGGGGGACGTTCAATTTTTGTCAGCATTTTGAGTTACTTGAAGAACAGGGCATTTTTATTTATGGAATTTCCTTAATCCACTATAAAAATCCTCTGGGCTAAACTGACTTCCCAGTATCCAAATCCCTTGGATAAGACAGCTCACTCCCAAGATGCTTATTTACCAACAACCATTCCTCTAGGCCAAGCTTACCAGACACTATCTTTATCTCTGGGATAATGTTAAGTCCCTGTCTGACAACCTTATTTCTCTGGGGGAATTACACAGGCATGAATTTAGAGACACATCTTTTTGTTCTCATAGCATGCTCAAAGCAACTTTATCTTCCCAAGTTGCCGAATAAACCAAATTTTCTTTCACAAGAATGGAAATGTTCTGTCACCAAGGGCCATGCAGCTTCGCGGTGACCAGAGGAAAAGATGCTGCAGGGCCACAGGGAGAAGGAAGCTGAAGAGGATCCAGCCCTCGCTGCTGGAATTGCCAGGCAGGTGCTCCCAGCCGCCAGGGTCAGAGCTGAGCAGCGGGGAACGTCGTGGGTCTGCGCAGCGTCCCGGCAAGGATGTGCGTGGTAAAGAGCTAGTGCAGGAGCAGGATACATGCAAGCATCTGGCTTCAGTTTTTTTCCTTTCTTCTCCTATAGCTTCATTCCAGAAATAGTATATACCAAGGATCAAATTCAGCTGGGATTTTTTTTTTTTTGCTAGAAAATAAAACGTTTAGTAGAACGCCTGCAAACCTGTATCAGACAGCAAACAAGCGATTTCAAAGAGCTGGCGCAGCCTGGAATTACTGCCCATACACTGACTAGATTACTCTGTAAATCAACATCTATTGTGCAACATTCTTAAAATCAACCCCTATTGTCACCTAGTCATTTCCAGCATGATGTAACAAGTCTCTGACGGATGGCTTTAAAGCAGGATCAACCCAAACATGCTTTTTTATTTTACAAGACTTTTATTCCATTTCACAGATTTGACTATTACAGCAGTGAAATTATTACAAGTGACTCATAACGTTTAGTTCCAAATAAAAGTAGAAAAACACAAAAAGTACAAAGGAAAGTTAAAGGAGATGTGATGTATGATAAATGTGATTTAAGAGCACAGAAAAAAATGATATAAAAATACATTAGGATCAAGAATTTTGCAGACAGGTTTTGATTTAGTTACAATTTTGACACCACCTAGAAAGCACAGTATATTGAAAACTGTTAATTAGAAAGGCGATAAAATCCAACAGTATATAAAAGGAAGGAAAAAAAACAAAAATATGAAAGGAAAGATGTGTATGTGTGTGGGAAAGTCTATTTTATGGCAAACTTCCAATCCTTTGGCCACTATCGAGCAAAGTCAGTGGATTTCATATAAATTCTCTGTATAAAGGAATGTCTATGAACTGTGTACAATATGGCCCAGAATAAACATTTCATTTTCAGGCTAATAGAGCTCCTCACAGAGGAAAAAAAAAAGGTGCTTATGTCACGGTTTCATCTCCGGAAATAATACTGTCCGGAATTGGACTAGTGCCCCAAAATACCATTTTAGGAACAACACAAATTCCTTTAATGGAAAGGAAATGCAGTAACCTGCCGAGGCTGTGCAAGCAGGTGCTGGGCAATGTCTCACTACTGCACACCCGCTTTAGCTTTAAAGTTCGTGTGGTTGATTGGCAGGGGGTGAGCCTCTGTGTTGAACACCCAGTCGTCCAGGGCCAGCACGTCGTCTTCACAGAACAGAAGGTAGAGGTACCTGGAGTCGTACGGCAAAGGTGGCCGGGAGCGCGGGGGAAGACAGACACAAGGGGAGATTTTAGGCAGCTCACGTGGGATTCCAAGCATGCACAAAAAGCCCTGCCAGCCACAAACATGAGCTCGAGCTACCAGCAAAGGCAGATTTGTGCCAAGCATGAGATCAGCTGAACACGAGCTGAGAAGCACGATCATGTCATATTCATGCCTCCCCTTTGGCCTCCTCTTTGTTCAGAGCATTAGCCTGACAGAGGGGTCAGCTGGGCCTCCCACTTGCTTCGAGCAGCTCTGGATTGAAGGAAGAATCCTATAAATCCAGGGCAGAAGCAGGAACCAGAGTGCCTATGACAGCAGTGGTTCTGCAGAAAGAAGTTACTAAAGCTTTGCAGCACCTATAATCTTGTCCAATCTACTCTGCAGATTGGATAAAAGACTTATCATGCAGAGGATAAAAGACTTATTATGCAGAAAGAGGTAGAGCATCAAAAGCAGTGATGATGTGGGAATTACGCTGTTCTGAAAGGCTTCTGTGATACTTACTTCAGAGTCTCTGCGAGGAAAAAACTCTGTTGCATGTTGTCGTGAGTCGGGGTTGTGCTGTAAACATCTCGGATGCCAGAAAAACCTGCTTCTACCCTGCAGTGTTCTTCCAGGGCCTGAAAAGGAAAAAGAAATGTCAGTAACATACAGTAGCATGGAGTAACTCGTTAATCTTCACCAGTCCCATCACAAATCAGTTTTACGAAGCAAATCCCAGATTTCTGGTAGCTTCTGTTAGCATGGCAGGAATAAATGTAGTTCTAATGAAACAGCAAAAGAAATACAGACTAAGTTGGCTGATTGACTGACCTTGATGTTACACACAAAGCAACGAGAGGTGTCAAGTGGCAACTCTCGCTGTTGGCAGAGCCTCTTTTCCGGGGCACTAGACGAGGGACAGTTCTGCCACTGAAGCGCGGTCCCTGCTAGGATGTGGGGCAGCAGCCAGCTAGCTAATGTATTAACTGGAAAGAGAGGTGAGGGTCTTGCTGGCTGGGAGGTCTTTGCACAAGAAGATAGGATAAGAGGAAGGGCAAAACCAGGCTTGCCCCCTTTTTTTTTTTCTGGCCAACTATAAACCAGTGGTTCTGAGCAGTTCACATATTTCCAGCACAAGGGCTGTTTCATTAATAGCAGATTTTGCTGTCTGCAGCATTCTCTCCATAAACCTCTACAGCTTGCACTGACCGATTGATTCTAACACAGATCAAAAGGGAGAAGAAAATATTTTCCATGATCAGCAGAGAAGCCACACTGAATTGAAATTGTGTATTTCTGCACCATTGCTAATGTGTCTTAGTAATTAATGCAATTTAAATCATTTTTGCTCTTTTTCTTGACTGAAAAAGATCCTTGCAAGAATGCAACAGCCTGCAAGTGTTATTCCTGCAGGGTTTCCAGCCGTACCTTGACAGCCTCCCAGCCCCACTGCCGGTACTTGGGATCGTGCGTCAGCCGCCACATGTACATGTAGCTTTCCACCACTTCTGGGCGCAGGATGTAGTAGCGCTCGCTGAGTCTCGTTGCCATGGCTTCACTTCCAGTGTCAAAGCGAAAGGCTTCGGGGCCGAGTTTGGTATCTAGACACAACCACACGCAGGTAGTCACCAGTTTGGAGAGCAAGCAAGAAAACAGGCTGGGTAGGTGCTTTGAAGCTGCTGAGACTTTAGACATTTAACACTGAGCCTTGTGTGAGGTGAGATGAGCAGAGTGGTCATTTTGGTGCAGCACCATCAGCCCAAGAGCTACTATCAAGGCAGGGGCGATCTCTTGCCAATATCTGCTCGAGGATCCCTCCTTACAAACCCAGAGACCTCTCCCTGTGTGAGATACAGTGAAATGAGCTTAGAGGTTGCCTGTGATCGTGCCACATCAGGTTTCCCTTGCAGCACGCACATGTTCACCACAGGGCTGTGTTTAACAGCTTCATTTTATTTCTCTAACTATTGTGCGCACCTTCTCTAGGCCCTCTGGGCTGTGCAGGAGCCTGTGCTGTTTGCCAGCTGCATTGTTTGTTTGCAGCCCGGGTGACATGCGTGGCAATTCTCTGCAAAACAATGAGCTTGCTGAAATGACAGCTCTGTAACCGGCGTGGGCAGAGTCGCTACTGCCCTTCCTGTGCTGATGGATATTGCTGAAGGTGAAAACTGGCTCCAGGCACTCACAGCCACAGGGTTATTAGTTCGGGTGGCTTGTTTCAGTTCTGTAAGTGCTAGGAAAAAAAAAGGAATTTTTTGCAAATATAATTTCAGTGTAGCCTGAAGTTATTAGGCAAACACGCCGGGTACCAGCTGCCAATATGGACTTGCTGATGTGGTTCAGGCGTGAAACAATCACAGAATCATAGAATCCTTAAGGTTGGAAGGGACCTCTAGAGATCATCTAGTCCAACCCCCTGCACACGCAGGGTCACCCAGAGCACGGGGCACAGGCTGTGTCCAGGGAGGTTTTGAAGATCTCCAGGGAAGGAGACTCCACAGCGTCTCTTGGCAGCCTGTTCTGGCGCTCTGTCACCCTCACTGTCAGGAAATTTTTCCTTAAGTTCAATCTTTGGGAACTGTTAGCACACACAGACATGGTCAGCGAGGTCCTGGAGAGCAACTACTGCTTGCTGCCTGCAGGCTCCGAGGAGAGATGTTACTGCTTTTAAAGCAGTGGGTACAGGTCTCCAACACACTCTGGCTTCTTAGTTGCTCTTCTCCATACAGTGGGACATCCTACACCAAATCACTGTTCATCTCCTTTTCCTGTCTGCAAAACAATGTGAAAGGACAGGCTCAAACTCTAGCCTTGCTGGCAGAAGGCAGGCTCTACAACTGGGATGCAGGAGCAGGACTCAGTTCAGGGTTCATTTCCCAGCTCTGCCACAGCAGTTCTCAGCTGCCTCTGCTCCAGCTGTCTGTTGTGTAAAGCAGGAGGGCTGTTGTTGCCCTCCCTGCTGGAGATCCTAGAGAAGGAAAGTGAGTGTCATATGCAGGGACAAAAACACTGCTGGAGCCCAAAACCCTGCTGCAATCCTCTGCCACGCAAGAGCTGAGGCTCCTAAGCCTGAGGACTCTCCCCTAGTCCTGTTTTCCAGGCAGCCCACCCGGGTTACCTGAGCGTGCGTAAGACTCATGACACGTGTTTGTTATTTCTGCAGCTAGGTCCATGTAATGTTGCTTCTTTTCTTCTCCAGCGTGTTCAGCTCCAAGGGCTATCATGCCTCCAGAGAAGCAAGCTAAGTGGCCCATTTTGTGATCCAAGATGCCACCCCTCCATTCAGCAATGTATGTCAATCCTCCAGCAGACTTTTTCACCAAATGCTTTTCTATTGCCTGAAAAGGATGAAGATCAGAGTATGAGGATATTTCATGGACAGCGTGGGGAGTGAATACTGAACAAACCCAAAGAGCTAACACCCATTTGCCTCCAACACTCTAGCGAACAACGTCTCCACGAGAAACAGAAAGTAGAAACTCACTCCCTACCTCTAGCGCATCATCATACATCCTTTTAGCTTCAGAATCTTTCTTGTCTGACATCAGCCAAGATTTGATGAGATATTCATAAAAGCTGTCCCCAAGCCCCCCAATGGAGACATGATCTGTAATAGGAAAGCCAAAAAAGAACATCAGGTTCATAATATACAATGAGCAGTCACTTTACAAAGAGCAAACAACCATGTCCTATTTAATGCCCTTGTTCTCTCCTCTCTCTTTTCAGTTTCCTGGGGAGAGCTTGCAGCAGTTTCTTTTTTAAAAGGGAAGAAAGGTGGAAAGTGCAATCAGAAGAAAAATGTTCTGTCATTTTATAAAGCATCAGTATCCCTTCCCAAAACTACTCAGAGGTCTTATTTTGCAACAGTTACTTACACTCTAACTTGAACGTGCTTTCTTTTTATGAAGCCACCATCATAAATCCCAGCCTAGTAAGATGAGAGCAATGGCAGATATTGATGGATCTCTGCCTATATGAAGGCACTGGGTCCTGCCTCGCTGCCTCGGGAAAGGGAAAATGCATATTGGATCAGACAGGGCTGCCAGCAAGGGACCGCTACAGGACCTCTGCATGCTGCCATTTGTATTCCTGGCTCATGGTGGGTCTCTGTTTCCCGGGGAAGGCTGGGATTCTTGGCGTATTAAAACGATAAAGTCGGGTGCAAGGATGTGCACTGAATATCTTCTTCTGGAGAAATCAGATTTTCAAGGCTATCTGCTCAGAGTGCACGATGCTTTGACCTTACTGGAGAGGAGGATGCTAAGGAATGGCACTGTGAAATGGGCATGACAGCTGCAGGTTTCTGCCTGGGGGGAACTGTTGGATGGATTTATATCTTTAAACTATACCACAGGGTGAAGAGCAGCACTAATTCCTTGAAGCAGCCAAGAACTCCCCTTTTAATAAGAGCAAGACAAATTACCCACCAAGGACTGAACCAACTCTATTAATTAAAAGTGTCTACCCCTGCATCTGCCTGCTTCCTCACTTTTGACATAAGCAGATGCAGCAGGATTTTTGAAGCAGCTTTTCAGATTTTTATTTTCCCTTTCAATGTATGTAAGTCCTGAGGCTTATTCTAAGTGCTAAATCCTACCAACAGGAGAGATAACAGCCACGCATTTTCCTGACCTGAAGAGCAAATATCCCTGATACAGTGTGTCCAATGGTCCACAGAATAATCCAGAGCAAAACAACAAGATTAGATGTATGAATTCAGAGAAGAGGACAGACTATTTACAAACACCAGCTGCACAGTCTGTCTTTAAAAGAGAAATTCTGTGATCCTAAGTATGTCATTCATAAACTCGCCAAAGCAGGAGCTCTGGTACATAATTGTGTTCCATATGGCATGACTTTGCCAGCATTCACCTCTCAGGCACTTTGCATAAACAAATCTTTTATTTCAGCAGGGGACTGTGCTTTAGTTTTCTAGAGGTAACAAATGCACTCAGACGAGGTAGAGCATTGCCTCTTCATTAGAGGATGTGCTCATTCGGCCAGGTCGAAGATGCACCTTTTAAGAAAATCACAGTAATTCCAAGAAAAAGAAACAGCTTCCTGCGAAGAGCTTTAATGGCAAGAGAGAAAATGAGAGCCTGGCACCTCTGGGAAACATCCCTGCAGCAGGCAGCAGCTGTCTCCTGTCTTTAGTCCCAATCTATTTCTTGCTAGCCATTTCGGAGGTGCAGAAGATGCTTAGCAGCATTTTGCCACACTGGAATACGGATTCGGACCACAGGTCAGAAAATGAGCAACTGCCAGGAGAAGTCTGTGCCACGGGGTGTCTTTATGATGTGTGAGTCTAGGAGAGAAGATATCTAAAGTCCTTTTGCATAATCCGCCTTATCCTAAATGAACTAATCAGATGCTACTTTTAATAAGCTCTGAGACTCAGCAAAAAGCCCCTTTGTATGTCAGCAAAGGGTGGGAGCCGATCAGTAAAATGAAGTCAGATTTGTGGATATAAATAGAATTAAATTAGTGGCAGAAGTGATTAACAGCAAGCATCAAGCTAAGTATTTTAACCCTCCGAATTAAAAGCACAGCTCTTAAGTTTCCCAAGGATTTGGTAACCATCAGTTATGGCAACAACAAAACCGAGAGACTGAAACTTCATCTTTTCTGAGCACCAAGGAGCAGGTAGGATTAAGGCTCGTGTATGGGAAAATGTGCATGGTGACTCCCAGCTGAGAACAGTCTAGAGAAAACGGCACCTCGGGGGTACACTGGGATGGGAGATTAACTTCTCAAGTGCAGCATATTGCAACAGCTCTGCAGAGACAAATACAGAGGGAAGATGAACCAGCAAAGGAATAACTTGGAAAATCAACTAATGGGCTGAATATGGAAGCCTATCTATTTTTTTTAATCACAGAACAACTTTTTTTTTTTTTTTTTTATCAAAGAACAGCTCTGGTTTAATGAGACAGTGGGAATTATCCAGGATGCTGCGTTAGGACAATTTTCAAGCCAAGCCCTGTCAGTCACCATTATTGGTGCTGATGTGGCAGTCGAAGGTCAGGCTCACAGCTCACAGCCACTGCTCTCCCAGGGCCCTAGAGGAGATGATGCAGCCACGCAGCCGCCTGCCAGTTACAAACACAGCTATTAATACAGTGGTTGGGAAGATCTACAGTGATCTTGGAGAGCCACCAGTGCAGCAAGACACAGGGACAGAAAATATTGCAATGACTCAAATAAACCCGCTTAAGCAATATAATCCACTGACAGATTAAAAACAGCTCTGCTGAAGGGCAAACTTTTATTTCCTTTGAAAGAGAAACATGAAATCCAGCAACATCCTTTGCCAAAATAAGCAAATCTCTAACAGAGGAGAAGCTGAGGTCAAAGATCTGGGGCAGACAGAGTGCTAAATACCAGGGGGATCTGAAACTCTGCAAGCCCCTGCCTCTCCAAATGGATCCCTATATGATACATCATACTTAGGAAGCAAATCTCCTATGGCTTCTGCTCACAGCCTTCACAAGCAATTGCTGAGGAGCCCTACAGACTATATGAAAACTGTAGGATAAGGTAGCACAGAGATGTGCTGATTTCTAATATCTACGTGATGAACCATGTACCATTATCTCCCCTGTGAAGGAAAGGCTCTAATTCTCTTTGTGGAGGTGAGACACTCAGCTGGAAACAAGGCTGATGGACTAAGTGTACGATGATTATATTGCATCTTCCAAATCGAGTCACATTATCTAATCACATGTATAACAGGCTGCCTGACAAGACATTTCCTTGGCTTGCTGCTCTGACAGTTGCTATATCTTCCTAAAGGATAATGGAAAGGCAGAAATGCTCCAGGCGGGACTCAGTGCAGACTGATACTTACGCTGCACCCAGTTGCCTGTCACCGGGCTGAGGAAGTTGGGATAAAGGCCCTGCGGCTTCTCCACTTTATTCAGGACTTTGCGGATGTTCATCACCTACGAGAGATGAGACACAAAAATCATGTCACTTCCCTGAAAAGGCTGACAGTTTTGCTCTGCCCCTGAAGATTGGCTCCTTGGTTCTCATGCCTAGCTGAACGAGCACAGCAGCCTATTACGTTGTGAATCATCAAACAAGTGGAAGCCGGCAATATTGCTCTCCAAGGGTCTGTGATGGAGGAACTTTCCTCCTGGATCCTCAGTACAGTCTCTAGCCAGTTCTGTGGATTTTCAGAAATGGTTCTGAGAACCCCATGAAGCCCCAGCTGGAAAAGCGCTGGAAGTAAATAGTGCAGAAGGAATCCCACGGATTGGGTTTGTAATCTGGATGGAAATGCAGGAGAGGTAGTGGGTGGGTTTTTTTCCCATGATCCAAAGGAAAAGGAGTGGCAGGGATGAGTGACTCACATGGCACTTAAATTCACCATGTGCTCACTTAACCTGATGAATTGGGGCCTTAATTTCAACAACAGACAGCTCCTTTAATATGCTAGAACAGATTTACTTATTCTCTAAAACCTCCCTTGGTTTCCTTCCCATTAAATCCAATAGGCCTTTCCCATAAGGGATGATGTTAAATGGTATGCAGCATAAATATTCTATTATAACCTACAGAGCAGCTAATACATTCTAAACCTTTTATAAAATTAGACAATTTGTACGCCAAAAGCTGGCTACAGGCTTAAGTCTGCGCTTCCAAGTAAGTCATCAGGCTGCATAATATTTACTGAAGTTTAGTAGCCTGGCATATTAATGACATGTTTGATAAAAGACACAGATGGACTTTATTCCTGCTAAAATGACACAATCCCAAGCTGCAAGCTAATGAGTTGATGTGTTCCTCTGATGCCATTTCCCACGCGATGGGCTGCTTGAGCCCCTCTCATCCCACGTTTTCTCTCTCAGAGGGTATCAGGCTGAATGCGATCCATTTTTTGTGGCACACACAAGGCATGCTCAGCTCAGGAGAGTCCACAAGAAAGGTTCTGCCCTTCTCCTTTAGCTGGGTTATGAGTCTGAGATGAAAACGTGTTACTTTGGGGATAGAGGCTTGACCCTGGCTCAAAACAGAACAATTTGAACACCGAATATGGATGCAATTCTAGCTTGCAACGTTGCATCTTCTTGCCTTGTGTTTTCAGAGCTCCTCTCTTTGTTTTCCTCGTTCATTTCTTTCCCCCATTTTTTTCCCCACAACCTTTTTCCTCCACTGCCCTTTTCTCAGCTCCCCGCTCCCTGCTCTGAGTAATTCATCATCAAGAATCATTAGCTTGTCTTTTTTTATTTCAAATTGCCAGTCTTTCTGTACCTTGCCTACAGAGTTTCCTGGGTTTCTTGTTTCCCCTCACCCTCTGCTATTCCTCCCTGCTCACTCCTCCGACATCTCTCTTGCTCACCCCACCCTTCGCTTCCTACATACTACTCTGTTTTGTTCTTTAGCTTCTTCCTTCTCTTTCATCTCTTCTCTTCTGCAAATTCTTTTCTTGTTTCAGTGAGAACTGACAGACCAATACGCAAGGAAAGGCCCATTTTGAGCCATTTACTGGTAATCTCAGAACTACTCTTTGTTTTCACTCACTGTGGAGCTCTGGACTAGCCCCGTTTCCTTTGGGCTCATAGGGCAGTTCAGATTCTAACTAGAACAATTTTTCTCCCTCAAAACTGATTCCTCAGGGACATGCAGTGCAAGCTAAAGATTTGCTGGTTTCCAACAGCATATTTAAAAAATTGTTCTCACATGCACATCAAGATAACTTAAAAAAAAAAAAAAGGAAAAAGAAGAAAAAAGGAACAAGGTAATGTGAAATATTAACAGATTTTCAGCTACAAGGTATACAAAAGGAATCCAATATGTCAACTGTCAGGCCTTTCCTATACAAGAAACCTCAGCAGAAATGTTACCAGCTGGAGCATAACATTTAATGCCTGTTTAGAGTGGAAAGGTCTGCAAGTACAAGGCAACACTATTAGGATATCAGAATTAACAATTAGCTTTGCAGCCTGCATCCAGCAGACGGATTCATTTTGTTTGTGTTTAGGGTTCTTTTTAGGTAGGTTTTTAGTGCAATTTCACATCAGTGAGACATTGGGAAAACATTCCCATCTCTTGTTGCTGCCTGCAACGGTGGGTGGGAGGTGGAAGAGCCAAAATAAGTGTGAATGGACACGGAGAGTTTGGGGGCCGTTGCCTCCCTGGCAGCCTGCATGCTGGGACCTGCAGTTAGAAGTTGCTGTGATCTCTGCCCTCGACTGGTATAGGATGCTCTGAGGACTGGAGCCTGCAGGGGACAGGTGTTGGGACATGTGTCCCACTGTCAAAGGCTTCTTCTCTGCTGAGCTGTACTGGCAACGGGCAGAGGGAACAATTTTTGTGGGCAGGGAAAGCGCTGCTCTGCTCCAGGTGTGAGACCAGTTCACCGCAGACGGAGCTGGAAGTACTTGCCTTTTCTGCAAACACCGGGTTGCCGGAGAGCTCCGAAAGGTGCAGGAATTCTAAGTGCAAGGTACCAAATTCCGCTAAGATGCTGCTGCCGGCAGATGCCCAGCCCCAACTCCAACTCATGCCGCTGCAAGGACAGAAAGGAGAGCTTTCATTAGCAGGCAAATAAAGCTGGGGTCATCCCACAGCCACAGTGCAGACTGTGCCTACACCACATGCACCAACGCACACCAGGGACCAACAGGGACCACATAAAGGGTCCACCACTATTTTTGACCTACTGGATCCATTCTCAGCCTTTTTTTCCCTCCCTGTAGCCCTGATATTGATGTCTCATTCTGACCAATTCATGCAAAATGCAGTGATGGAGAAAAATGCTCCTTGGTGTAAAGCAAGGAGCAGGTTCTAGGACTCAAGAGGTCATCATTTCCCTGCTTTATCCTGGGAAAAAAAAAATCTAACTAATGGACACAGAAGGGCAGAGGCTCTTCCTAGCCTTAACAACCATGTGCACCTCCTTGGATTTGCATTTCCAGCAGCCCAGGTCCTTCTTGTGCCCCACTGCTACAGATTTCAGTTCTGCACCTCCCGAACAGGACAAGTGCCCTATATCCTCAGGGCCTTGCTCCTAAAGTAGCCCGTGCAGGTGCTGGCCCAGGGCAGCTTGGTCGAGCTGCTCGGAAGCGACAGGCTGCCGCTTTGCAGGTCTCTTGAGGAGAACCGGGGATCCCGATCCCAAGTTCCGGAGCAGGACACACTAGATGGCGCCTGAAACCGTGGCGATTCGCCGCAACAAGTCGCTGCTCTTTGCAGGAGGTGCAAATTAATCTTTCCGCAGCAGGAGGGGAAAAGCATGCGGCTCAACAGGGCCTTGGAGAGCAGCGGGGCCGCGGCAGGGCCCTCCCGGTGTCCGGCCTGACGGCGGCTCCCTGGGGTCACTGCGGCCACCACGGCCCTGCCGGGGACTTTGGGCCCAAACACGCAGCAAGTGCAAGGACAGCGCGGCCAGGAGCCCCGCGCGGCTGGGGACAAATCACAGCCACCTCGGGAGAGGGGGCTGCTGCAAACGGCCCCTCTGCAACGTGGTCCCGGGTTAAAGAGCGGCCTGAAATGACCCCCCCGTAGGGAAACATGTTTTCAGCATTACAGGCTGCACAAACTGAGTCTTCACATCTGCTCCATGCTCTAACATATTGGAGGAAACTACCTTTCAAAGTATCGAAGTTTCCAAGCCAAAGAAAATGTCCAGTGCTGACTTTGCCCCCCAAATTCATGCATCTTAATTGTTTGGCTGCAGTGGCTCCATGTGCTGGAAGTGGCTGTTTCATCTCCTTCCCTCACAGAGACCCAGAGCAGCAGCTAAGTCAATGGGTGGCCAGGAAAGAAGGATGAGGAGGAATGTGGAGGGGCAGAGGGTTTGGGGAGAGATGAGAAGGGGGGCCAGGACAGGAGGCATCGGGAGAGAGCACAGCACAATGTGCAGGCAGGGAGGACAGAGAAAAGCAGCTAGAAAGACAGTGTATGGTAGGAGCTGGCTGAAAATGTGGCCACTGCACTAGCAGGATGGAAAACAAGCCTGTGCGAGATGTGATACGAGGTCTTTTGTGAAAACAGAAGGCCGCGAGGAAGCACATCAGTGGAGGGACACAGGAGGAAAAGGTGGTGCGGGGTGACAGGAAGAGATAAGGCCAGCTGGCTATAGGAAAAACAAAGGGAGGGTCTTTCTACTTGTGTCCCCAAAAACATCTACTCGGAATTAATGCAACGCCAGCTTTTGTTTGTTTTAAATTTCTGAATCTCACTCTTAGTCCTCCCTCCTTGCTCCAAGACCCCCCACTAGCAGAAACGCTCCATATGCTGTAAACCTGCTGCTTCTGAGCTGTGGAGGCTTCTCTGCAACTAGCAATTCTTACAAAAATAAAAGTGGGCCTAGTTTCTTCTTGCAAAACTCTTGAGATTTGGGTTGGCCTTGACTTCTGGGTTAAAAATCCCCTCTCTTGACATCATCTCACTCACCTCTGCTTCCACATCCGTATCTACCTCATGCTGAATGACTCCTTCCCCTTTGGGTTTACAAGCTTTGGCTGGTCATGGTTCTGCAATAGCCAGGATACAGATTTAGCTCGCTTCGTCCTCGCTCCTAAATCCATCAGCACTTCCAGGCCCTCCCAGCAATATTATGGCTCTGAAGCCAGAGCTCCAAATTGTAACGTGGGCTCTGGATTTCAGGCTCTGTTATTTTGATTTTCTTTGCTCTTAGTCAAGGTCATTGGCAAAACATTTGGGGAGTGTCTAGGCAGGCACAGTCTGTTTCGATTGTCTTCACAAAGGGCAGGGGAGGGTTTGGCATTTCTGTGAAAGGTTACTCCATGCCAAGCCTTTATCAGCCACGGATGAAGCAGAATGTCTCCTCTGTAAAAAGAAACAATTAAAGTGATCGTGGCGGTAGATCAAATTTTCCCTGGGATCATGTGCAGAGGAGACAACTGAAGGGTGACAGTGATATTTGAGCAAGGATCAGCCCAAGTCAAGCATCTGACAGCCCAGTGCTTCACGCGGACAGGAGCCAAACAGAACGTCTGGGCTAAGAAAGATTTTCACAGCTGCTGCTCTGCGTGTTGCAAGAGGTGAGGATGAAAGGCTTGTGTTAACCCACATTTCCTGCTGCCTGCCTTTCAGCCTGATGCAGCTTTTCCCTGGGGGATTGGTTAGTAGGTATCAAAATGAACCCTTCATGGCCAGGAACACCATCTATGATCGAGGTTCAGCCTCTGAGAGTCCAGCCTCTTGGTTCCCATCTCTGCCAAGTGGCCTCCAGCTGCCCCAAAGCTCCCCTGTGGCAGGAGGCTGCCTAGCTGGCACAAAACACTGCGACTGTGGCTGAGGACTGCCAGCAGCGAGCCCACCACAGGCTCTGTCTAGCTCAAAAATGCCTACCAGTCCCTTCCAGTCCAATTCCTACTTCCTTAGGTATGGAGGCTGGGTAAATTCACATGCATCTAGCTGTGCAGACTGCAAAAACACAGAGTGTGCTACACGCTACGTGCAGATTACAAATATCCTTTTAAAGAAATGACAGCGAGGAAAATGCTATTGTAGCAGAGAGCCCTGTCAAAAAGCAGAGGAAGAAACTACAGAGAGCCACCAAATTAATAAACACAGCTGGGGTTAACTTGAGTCACCTGCAATCTCTGCCAAGATACCTCTTGGGTTTGGGTTGGCAAAACAAACGACCTCGAAGAAACTCTACTAGTGGGGGGCACCTCTGAGGAACTGCTGCTGTTCCTGCTTGGGTCCTGGTCTTTTGCAAACACTCAGGAACGAACAGACATGCTCATAAGGACGCGTGTCTTGCCTGCCCAGATTTATGACGCCGCGGGGGATACCAGTAGGGGTGTTAAAAGCTGGCAAAAGTTTCTCTCCAAGTTCCAGAGCTTTACTCTTGAACACCTGTTAAAAGAAGAGAGGATAAATATTTGATAGACTGCTTGAAAATACTAGTCACATTGGATTCTTTGAAATGCATTTTTTCAAGCATGTCATGAATGAAAGAGGGAAGTACTGCACTATAAGAATCTGTGATTTCATGTATGCAGCTGCCGTCAATCCACTCCTGGGTGGATTTGGACCAAAAGTCGTGGTGAACTTCAGCATCTATCTGTGTGGTCTCTGAAGATCTACTTTAAGCCGGTCGCAAGATTCCCAGCAAATCCTGAACCTGGATGATATCAGTCAGAACAAATGAGCTCACAAGAAATCCCAAATGCCTCAGTAGCAAAATTCAGTGATGTGTTTCTGTTACCACCCATGCACATCCAGGACAGGAGCTTGGAATTCAGTAACCAATGAGGCTGGGAAAAACAGAGTGGCTACAGTTCCATGAGGTTTGGGGGAGCCTTCCTCAGATGTTGTTCTTACCAACCACTGAACCTCCACCCAAGGGTTAGCTCAAAATCTGGACTGCATCAACCCTGTTCTACATGATCTTCTCTTGAAATCAAGGACCTCTCAGGATCAGCAAGTGAAGCTAATGCAGGGCTTGACTGTTGCCAGCACAGCTCCGGTTGCCTGTTCCATGCAGACCTTGGCTATCTAAACAGCTGAATAAAGGTCAAGGAATTAGTACATCCCCTTTGACCAGCAGAACAAGAAATGAATTCCTGCAGCCAAAGGCCTCCCCTTCAAATTTTGTTGCCCACTACAAATGCTGGCAGTAGCCTTGCCCTCGCCTTGTCTCTTTGGTTTCGTATGAACTGACCCAAGGAGCATCCTCTAGGGAACAAATGCTTCTCTTTTTCCAAAGTGGCAGAGGACACAGGGATGTAAAATGGTAAAATTAAATCAAAGCAAGTTTTTCTAAGGGGCAGCATATCAGATTTATGACAGTGGTTTGCCTAGCTGGTATTATCTCCTATTGCAAAAAACATGATTTCCAGCACACAGTCTTTTACTTGCAATCTTTCTCAGGAAGGTTTCATGGTTTCATGTCTAAGCTGCTCCTTTTCCATTTTTAATGCTTCAGTTTTGGCTTTCAAATCAAATTATAGCTTATGGTGGCTTGCAGCACAAAGTTACCATACACAATTATTTTGGGACAAACTGATACAAGCACTAATCTTTGCTTCAGAGATTAGTCCTGATCAAGGGAAGCCTGTAAGTGACTTACGAGATAAAGCACAAGCCTTTTACCTCTAACCCCCCTATACAACCCAAGCTGTCACAGTACTTCAAAGAAAGTAGGAATTTATTGCTCTAAAAATACAGCACTGAGGAAACATGTGGGCTTGCAGGCCTGTGACACCCTCACAAGGAGGTGGGTTTGATTCAGAAAGAGAAGCCAAGAGACGGGGTCTCAATTCTTGTGTTTCATCCTGGTGTCACCACCTGGGTATATGACAGGCACTGCCCTGGCTGCTGCATCACTGCTGACTACAAAGGGTCATCCCTGAAGCTTTATGGTTTCATATGGTTTCTTTTGGGTCTGCTGGTATGAAGTCTGCTAAAGCTGCGACGAGACAGGCCCTGAGCCGGGACATTGAACCTTTGAGTCTTCCCTGGAGGGAAACTGTAGAGGGAACTAATTCCTGGAACTCATTTAAAATGCAGCCTTAGTAACAGAGCAGCTCCTGTGAATCCACAGATCAATGGTTGCACTATGCAGTGACGAGCCACCCCATCCTACCATGGTAGACAGCCATGCTCCGTGGGAGCTGACCTCTCATTTAGAGCCAATCTCACAGTTCCTTCACCCACAAAACTCCTCCAACAAGCAGAATTTCTGCTTGCCTAAATTTTCCAGAGCAGAGGAATAATCTCTTCATCTCTCTATAGCCAGGTATAAAATTTCAATCTGGTTATAAAAACACAGATTGCAGCATCAGGCCCCAACCTCTGCTACTCTGGAGAGCAAGGAGTGTCCCTCCTCCGCAGGGCACTTCATCTTCCAAACCACTGCTACAGAAGGACTGTCCTGATAGAATTTGGAGCACTTGTCACTAATCAGTTGCTGCCCCTTAGTTGAAGGGCAGAGTCTGGACTGTTTTGATGAAATATTGCTTATGTTTAGGGTACTGAGTAAGTACAAAGTAAGAAGTGCAAAGACAAAGATCACTGCAAATGGCATTGCACTGGGGAGCAATGTATTCAGCTGAAAATGTGCCTTGCTAGAATTGCCCACCAGAGAAAAGATCTCTGCTGATGAGCCATGCATGGTGTATGCAAGGTAATTATGTGAGATTTAATTAAAAGAACATTAGTGGCATTTCAATATTCATAAAAATGATAGGTTTAGCCTGTTGTTATGGAGGGATTATCTGATGCTCAATGAAAAGCTGCTGGAGAACCCTTTCAATTCATTATTGGTGACTGAGACACACACACAGGGATGCTGATACAAACCTCTTCTCCAGTTAAGTAGTATGCGGCCAGCAGTCCTCCAATATAGCGGATGTTCACCTCAAACAAGGATGCTTCTCCGTTCTGAAAATAAAAATGATATTCTTGACTGCAAAATCTGCACATACAAATAGGAGCGGCTACAATAGGGAACGGCTTGTAGGAAGGTATTTAAGTCTTCCAGCTCTCACTCACAGTGTAATGCAGCTTTTCACCTGAGATCTCAAAGCACTTCATTTGCTCTAGAGAGAAAGCTGGAACTGAAGGGCAGAGAATCCCCCCCGACTGCCAATTTATCAACAGCTGACAAGAAATCTCAGAAAATGCTTCTACCATTCAAGGACCCCTCTCATCTTGCAGGCTCGGAGAACATCACAGCCTAAGAGATGCCCCTCACGGACATGTCTACAGAGAGACAAATTAAATGACGTCCGTGTGCCCCCCCCAGCAGAGAACAGAGACCCAGATGCATCTGGTTCACTGCCTCACTCCAGAAGCCACTCACCTGGAACGAGCTCTGCTCTAGCTGCTCAGCTGACGATCAGCAAATGTCAAAACGATTGCATTCAAAATGGGCTTTTACAAAAAAAACCAGGCTCTAGCTGGTGAATCTGCATGACAAATGATCCCTCCTCTCACGCAAACACATAAAGTCACAACCAGGAAGATGTTCAGTTGACACAGCACTGTCAGCCAGCAGGGCAAGGGAAGGGGCACTTCAACTTCTACGCTAGTCTGGCCTTTCCAAGTAATTTGGTGCTAACAAAGCAGAGTAAGTCCTTCCTCCAGATGAAGCATAAGGCAGAGCCGAGCACCCAGAGTTTGTGAGTTCCTCTCTCACTCTTTTGGACCATGGGACTTCCTTGTACATAGCCAAATTTTAATTAACTTCCCTCTTGCTCTCCTTCTGTTGTGTTTTCTGACTACACTGATCAATCCACAGTATTCATTCTTGTCTTCGCAGATCAATCTATTCTGCAGGCCAAGATTAAAAGCTTTTATGAAATCCGGATAAATTATCTCCCAGTTGATTTTGTCCCTTGTTTATCGATTCAGTAATGTACTGAGAGCATTCACCAAATTTATCAGATGTGGTCTTCCTTTTGTGAATGCCTGAATGCCAGTCATGCCCTCACAAATGATGCTTTTCTATAAAGGCAGCTGCATGCATTGTTCCCATGGGGAGAACCATTTTTTTCACAACAGACAACTAGGCTGGCATTAAAAATAAAAGTTTGAACAGCATCAGCTTTTAACATTCTCCCGATGTCACTGAGGCGTTTCCATCCACGCTCCCGTACCGGTACAGAGCTGCCTCATACAATAGCAGCCAAAACAGGAGCAAGGGGCCCCAGCCAGAGGAGAGGACGAGGGACAGCAGTCTGCCCTCCTCAGAGCCACAGCAAATCTAACAAAATGTGGCCAGCAGACTTTTGATGGGCATGGAGAGTGAGCAAGGCTGGTCGTTTGCAAAACTGATGCTCTTCCGCCCAAATCTGAGCTCAGTCTGCTCCTCTACTTTGCTGACAAGGCACCTCTCTCCCATGCAGAACTCTACTGCACAGACTTTGTATTTCCCCATCTCAAATCATTCTAAGACTCTGTGATCAGAACTGACCAAAAGCAGAGGGAACATTTCTGTGACACAGGCAGCTATTTCCAGCCACCGACTCACCACATTCAAGTCAAAACTCTTCTCCACCCACTTCTTCGCTTCTTGGAATTCCTCCTCCAGCTCCATGATGTACAGAGTATCTAAGGCATCCACCACGGTAGCTCCTCGAAGGCCTCCTGCAGTGCAAAGAGAACAACGTGCTCAAGCCTCATTTGTGCCTTCTCTAGCTCTAAGCCAATCTGTGCTGGTTCCATTTTCCCCGCTCCATGCTGGAGTGGGTGGGACAGACAGCAGCTTCAGCCTCAGTGCTGGGGATGTCTGGCTGGGACCTAGCAAGAAGATCTTGGCCACAATCAAGACTGAGATCTTCAAAGAGGACCAGTGTGCTCAGCTGCCCACAATGAGTTGCTTTAGAGAGGCCCAATTTTCAAAAGCTTGACAGTGTTTTGAAAGAAGTACCCCCATGGAACAGCTCAAGGTCCACACTTCTAATCCTTGGTCACGGCTGCAAATCTTGGCCTTGTTTTCCAGTTCTTGTCTTGGTCAAAGACATTAAGGAGCTTCCAGCTCTAATCTTTATTCAGCTGCAAACCCAAACTCTATAATCTGGTTACCAGCACAGCATCTTCTAAGTGATGACAGAGAATTATGTTTTTATTGTGCAAGAACATCCAAGACAGGAGGCTGATCATTCTGTCCCGATGCAGTATTTGTTATCTGAGACACTAAGTAATTTTGCACCACGCTGTGACTCAGGGTTTCCCATTACCAACACACGCGCAAAACACAGCACCAGCTAGACCAGAGCCTAACGTCAGTAAATCTTGCAAAGAGAGAGGAGACAGCTGCCTTGCTTTGCCTAACAAATGGGCCCAGGAGGCTGCTCACCATTCCCCAGCAGATGGCAATGGGACATGGACACCCAGCAAATGCCAATTAAGTAGTTGGAACCACCATGTAATCTATATTAAAGGAAAAAAAAAAAAAAAAAAAAAGCCCCAAAGATGTTTGGATAAGGTTCAGGTTTTGCTTCTGGAGATGCAGAAGCTGCTTGAACCAGTTCTGTCCGTATCATCTCCCTTTCCATTGCAGCCTCAGATACGTGTTTCTATTTGGCTCAAGTCAGTTCCATTTTCTCACTGACTGACTCTAAAATATCACCCTGAATTTCCTTAGCTAGGAACTTTTTTTTTGATTACATGCTCAGATTGGGGTGCCAATTTTATAACAGTGTCAATGTTATTTCAATTCTAGTTCTACTCAAGAAAGGAAAGCCCGGAGAGGAAGGGAAAGCAAAGGTTAGTCACCTGCCACAAACCTTATGGCCTTGGTCTTGCCTTAATGAGAACAAAAGCAACTGTCAGTGATATTCATTATTCCCTCTGCCCAAAGGACAAGTGCTCAGGCCCACTGATTGCGTGCAGGGCTCGTTGATGCTTTCAACATTCTCTTCTCGTAAAAAAAAAAAGGCATCCTGCCTTATTTTGTTGATGTTACAAGATTGCAGTTTTGACACTTTTCAGCCAGTCAGCACATCATTGCTTTAATAAAAACCCAACCAAGACTTTACTGCTCAGCCACAGCTTGCTGGGTTTCGGATGCTGTCTGCATCAGAAACAGGGGCTGCAGAAAAGGGAAGGAGGCAGCGCAGGCAGCCTCTAGAAATGCTTTATCCCTATAAACTTGGGACACGATCACCTACCTGGAGGTACCTCCACAAGTGCAAAAGATGGGAGTCCAACAGCCACTATATCCATCAGTGGGATCGAAAAAGCAGCATTGAGCCGTTGTCTTGTGGCACGTTGGCCAAAAGCAGTGACCATGAAACCAACATCATCCCAGGCCAAGCTGTTTTTATCAGCCTTAACGATTCTTCAATATTAATGACTATGCCATTTTTATGAGCTTTCCTATTAGTGAGGAGACACACCAGCTCTGAGCAACACGGATGCAGGCAGAGCAGGCTGTAAGAGAAGGGAGGGCAGCGCTGCCTGAGGCACAGCCCATTACTGAGATATTCTGAGAGGAACACTAATGGGCTCGCTTTAATTTGATGATATAATCCACAAAGCCTTTCATAATCTGCAGAGGAAAAAAAATGTTGCATTTGCTCAAACTAGCTGAGACAAAGAGACAATGAAGTTACCGTTCTCTGAGATGATTAATTGAAAATATTGCCTGAATTTACAGAGCCAGTAAGGCCTTTAAATACATGAAATCCACCAGGGGATTAGGAACATGCCTGGATCTTCATTGCAGCATAGCTTGAAGTTGCTTCGCTTTCCTCCTCTGTATTTGACACAAAGCAGAGAACAAACTTTGCTTCCCTATTGCTTTGTTTTTGTGTCATTTTAAGCATTTGTTTTACATATTCCCCTAAACACTTGCCTGCCTGCACAGCCGCAGGCTGCGTGTTTTGTACAAGGGTCTTGTCGATGCTTCTTTTCCTCTTTGCAATTGCAAAACGCGGGGCTGACTTCTCTCCCAGAGCTGACGAAGACCATCTTCATCTCCAGACCAAGAGGTACCACAGCAGCATCAGTCACCTCATGAGCAGGATAAAATAGAGCCTCCCTCTTCTCCACAAGCGCGTGGATCAAAGCAGGCTTTGCCGCCACATCTCGGTGACGTGCCAGGCCAGAAAGGACACCTGAGGAGGACCCATCCCCTCCCGTGCACAGCGACACGGTACTTCCTCCCCGCAGGAGGACAGTCATTCCCTGCAGGTGCCTGCTCTGCTCTTGCTTCATCAGACCAGGACAGGGCTGGTGACACTGTGTCCAGTGGCTCTGATTGCGCTCAGCTGTCAGGGAACGGTGCTACCCATATCCCAGCACGGCTATTCCAATGCACACACACCCATTTAGAAAGCTGGGCATGTCTGCTTGACACACTGCTTATTTGGAGATATGTTAAAAAATAATCACCTTTCCCAATCTACACATTATAATGCAAGGGATATAATCAAAGGGGAAAGAGCTTCAAGCGGAAAAGAAATCAAACCCCAGCCTGTCACTTTTGACTCCCGCTGACACTCCCCTCTCCAAATTACTGGTTTCAGCCTCATTGTACTCTTCTCTGATAGAGATTTGAAGTAGAAACCAAAGAGCTCTCTACAGAAACTCTTCTGAACGCGCTCAGAAACGGCAGCTATGACTTTTAAAGAAGACTCCATGTCTGAGCTTCTTTCTCCACAAATCTTAGGTCTTATGTAGGAAAAGTATCCCCAGTCCTGCTGCAAAACTGCCACGTTTCAGAGAGGCAGCTGATGGCCAAGAGAAGCTCCGTGTGCTGGGCTCAGCTCTGCACCCGCAGCGGGTCCCTGCACTGCTCTGGCAGAGCCCATGGCCATTCCGAATGGGAGAGAGGAGCCCTCAGCTGTGACCACTGCCACGATCTGGGGCCTGAGGCAGAAGGTGAGGACGTCTGTCAAGGAACCAGCACGTTCCTAAGCAAAGAGCTCTCGGCAGCTCTTGGGATAACAAGCGGAGGGGCCTTTGTCTGAGTTTCACTTGGGAGAACTTGGGAGAACGACTTTCCTGTGGGAAGTCACAGCTTGTGATAGCGGCACAAAGATTCATCTCTTCAGCCCCTTGAGCTGGAAGACGCCCCGTACCAGCCCGTTCCAAGCCACAAGTGCATTTGTTCTTCTGTCAATGAGAAGAATGGTGACACCCAGGGAGGCAACAAGGCTGCTCTGTTCCTACGTCCACCCACCCAGGGGCCCGATCATCTGCGCGCTCGCTTGTGAGCGCAGCCACAGAGACCCCTAACAAAAGTTACATTAATTAATGTAATGCTTGAGAGAGGTGCTGAATGGGCTGCTCCGCGCGAGGAGGGGCCATTGTACGAGCACGGCGCCCACAGAGGAACACGCTGCGATGCTGCACTGGAGCCTTGAGGTCCCATCACCACGGAGGGGCCTTCACGGACACTAACAGGAGCTCTGTCTCTATAAAAAACCCAGATGAATCCCAGGACAACCCGTTCTCATCCGTGGAAAACCAGCTGAACGGTCTCACTCCCCTTCGCTCCTCTTGCCTCTTACCCTGACTTGCTCCTGATGTCGGCTAGAAGCGTCTTCATTAACACAACCCATTCCTTCAGTGCAACCCGTGTTCATTAACACAACCCCCAGGCAGACTTCTAAAGCCAAAGCGCACTGCTGAAGGCTCATTAGGAGATTCAAGGGTGTTCAAGGGACCAGATGGGGAATACAACGCAACAATGTCCACAGCCAAAGAAGGAGCAGTGACAAGAGCCTGCCCTGCTTGGGCGCAGCCAGCACTGGGGACCTGTTGGGTGACGCAGGAGAATGTCCTCTCTGAACATACCAAGCAGGGGCAGGAGAGAAGAGCTGGCACCGCAGCCCACGGCTCCTCCGACCCCAGGGCAGAGATTTGTGTCAGCTGAAGACGAGCACATGGACTGTGGCCAAGCAGCAACAGACGTGCGGTCCCCACCACAAGCTGGAGGGTGATTAACAGGGAAAAGCTCCTAGGGCAGCTCCTAAGAAGCTAAAATTAACAGATGGGACCCTGTGCCACGTGCACAAGCTTCATCCATTTGCACATGTGCCACCACCCAGCAAGCCACCCAGCGCAGAGGAAAAATGTGAACACATCAGCTCTCCTCTGAACATACAGTTTAAAGGGAGGCCATGAGGGCTGATCAAAGGTGGAGAGTATCTGTGCTACCACCTGCCACACATGCAAGGATTAATTAAGGCTTGAAAAGCACCAAGGAGGCACTAAGTACAGCTGTGGTAACAAATGCAGCTGCTGCTGCTGCCTCTCCGAGCTCCCTTTTAGCTACGCATTATGTGCAAATCAGACCCACCAATTTATGCAGAAACAGGGCAATCAAAGGCAGCAGCTTCAGGTGCACAACAGCAACCTCACATCTGATCATTACCAGGAGTTTGCCTCTGACTTGCTGAAGCTCTTGCAAGCCACCAATTCCCCTTGCAAAACCCAAGCCAAGGCGACCTGCACGTGCTTAGGTTTACAGCCACGGATTGCCTGGGAAAGGCTAAAAATGAAGGGACAGAGCAAGACTGCAAACGAAGGAAAAAGAAAACCAAAGAGACTGCAGAGCACTTGCAAGAGCATCCAGGATATCTTCTGTGATTTCCCTTGGCACCAGAAGGCAGATTGCTGTTTTCCCCGCGCTCACA